CTAGGAAATCTAGGAATAACTCACCACTCATAATTTTCATAGGCCATTCCAAAGCGCACCCAGTGCAACAGCTGATGAAGCATTTGAACAGAAAAAGTCAATAGTTAGGATTTTCATACTTTTTCGATTAGAAAAAGAGAGGTTAGGTTCGATTAGAAGTTACAAGAATCAAAAAAGCTCTAGTGTTTGTGAGGTAATAGATTCCTGTAAAAAAACCGAGCTATTTTAGTACAATGTGAACGAGGATCACCACTGCGGATCGGAGAGGAGTCGCAACGATGTCAAGCTAACAATCAGTGCCCGTTGTCACACGAGTGTCGAGTCGATCAGGGGGTTTGCTGTCCCAGAAAACGTTGGAGCCATTACTTTCCTTCGAAATGAACTTCTTTTGCAAAATGGCATTCTGAGGATTTACGTAGAAAGATTTCAAAGGGATTTCAGAAACAATCTGTGCTCAACCATTGCGAGTTGGAGATTGCACGGAGAACGTGAAACGGTACTGGTACAACGCAAAGGCACGTCAATGTCAGATGTTTGAATACACAGGTGAATATATTCTGTTTTGTTCATGATTCGAAAACTTCTTAGCAACACCCTTTCCTGGGCATTATCATCTGCATCACCGATATCCAACTTATCCCCCCAAATCGACTTCAACCATCCAATCCTGTCCTGTGCTGTCGTCCTCATTGTTGGTCAAGCATATTCAACATCGAATCGGCTCACCTCGTCTAAGGTCTTTCCGACGATGGCTTGCGAACAAACGGGATCCAATTCTTGAGCTGTGAGGTCCACCAAATGTCTTCCAAATGCGCCACATACCCGGCTCAATCCCATTCGCGTTTAGAGATTTCCGGAAGAGTACCGACGAATACTTCTCCTCTTCGTAGCCTTGTATTTGTGTCATGCTCGTAGTGTGACCATTCCCGAATCCTATGTGCCTTGAATTCTGCGACACAACACTACGCCGTACGGCAGCGCGCGTATCATCGTCGAGCAGAACGAAGAGGCTTTCGGTTTCCTTGGGAGGTCATTGTCTTTTTATTTATTTATTTATTTATTATACACTAAACTGAATGCGCCAATAGAAGGAACTGAGGAGAGGTACACAATTACGGAAGAGTCAAACCAAGGTCAAGATAAAACGAGTTGAGCTGAGCCAGCAGTGACAGTCCGCTGAATACCAGTATGTGTACTAGGGTAGAGGTGGAAAAGAACTCTTGTACGAAGAGCGAGCTCCACACGCTATAGTAACTGAACTAACAGCCTCGAAGAAGAAGTGTCCAGATAGACAGTACCCGCACCTGTTGGCCATGGTGCCTCATAAAAGAAGGAGTCACTGGACAAAGACGGAATTTCGGCACACGGGTGTGCCAACCTCCCTCGCACACGGGTATGCCAGCCACTTGTCGAACGGAAATTGTCTAGAAACGCAGTTGAAATTTCATTGAAGCTACATCAGCTCAACCATACAGCCGTCTTGCGCCTACTGTAGTCTCTGCTAGTGTTTTCGGTGAGGCTGAACAGTTACTAGAGGTACTTGCAACTTTCCACTGATTTGTTCGCCGCTGCTGGACTAAACTGATTATGCATTTACTTCACTGTTGACGAATTCATTCCAAGTCCGATTTCACTCGATTACTTCTATAGTTACACGAGTTTCTGATGGAGATGGAGTACAAAAATGAACCATCTTCAGAAAAGCAGACAACCTGCCTGTTCCACACTGACCCCTATACCTCCCATCCCGATTGCTGTGTAGGGCTTCCTAGTGCATATCGTATGACATTATGCATGCTTTGCATACTTGTGTTTGTCATGGATCGTTGAACAGCCTCATTTCTGGGCACAGCCGCTCTTCAACTCCTCGAAGATGTCGACATAACACGAATTTATACTACACATACTACTCGCACATAGTATCGCGTTGCTTTGAAACTTTCTTGTAATTAACGAGTGCAATACATAGGCGAGTCCGATATCCTCCATTTTTAGCCATACACCGGCGTACAAATGTGGCGTATTTTGGTCTCGGCTCATGGCCATGTCCAAGTTACTGACTCTGCGATTTAGGATAATTCCAAGCATCGTTGCTCAATTTCTCCTACGCTGCAGGAGCCTTTTTCCGGAGCTGAAGTGCACCGCCAGCTCTCTGATGGGGATGCGCTTGCTTTCAGGTGTTTAGGCCGTATGTTGTCACAGTCTGGTGGGCTGTGATTTTCTCAGTCTTAATCTGTTTTATTGCATTTTCAACTACTTCACACACGGAGTCGGGAACGGTTCTTCTTGATGTACAGATTGATAGTTTTCCGCTACACCTTCGAGAGGTACAAATCGGTATAGAAGTTCGTTCATTTTTCGTTCTCCCGTAGGCGTTTACTTGTCCTCATACCCGTATTATTAGGTTGGAAGGAAAGTCCTGCAACAAAAAATTTGAAGCGTCAGCAATTTGTACCAACAGTGTTAACACGGTGATAAACTTGTAGGACATTCCTCAGATAATCAACACATGAGTAAATAAGGGCACGCGTGTGGGCTTTAGCAGCATTACGGTCAATAGATGGACGACGCCCGATTCGTACGATCACCTTCTACTAAGCACGCCAAGGGAAAAACGCGGGTGTAGCGGCTAAAATTATCAGT